CCAGCCCTCGACCAGGGCTTATTCTTCCCACTACACAGAAACCACAGTTGCATACTTTGATATGGAAAACAATCATGGTTTACTAAGTGGAAGACACATTTATTCTGGAAGCTGTTCTTCATCTTCCTAAAGTAACTGGGTCTTACAAAACTCCAGCAACCAGAGCAGAAACTACGAGGGTCTTCAAAAAGTGCATGGAAAATGCTTAATATGAAAAAAACTACGCATGGGTTTAAAAATTTTTTGCACTGAAATAAATATATCCTTTAATTTCCTTTTCCATGAACTTTTTTGAAGTACCCTCATCCAGTTTTACTGGGATTTTTTTCCCAACATATTCCCCTGAAGGAGAATCAGACCCCCAGCATTTTCAAAGATTTCTCATATAGCATAGACGTCGGAGTGGGAGAGTCACAGAAACGCAGTGGCCGAAATCTCCAAGTTGTTCTTGCAGAACTGGCAGTGGGGAGCCAGAGGGTGCTCTGCAATTAGGCATCCGCTCTGCTCTGGAGCGCTCAATCTGGCAAGCAAAACAGCACAGCCTAGGAAGGGACACAGAAGAGATCTGAGACCAGCATGGGATCGGTACAGCAGCACAGGAGGAAGCTCTGGTTGGAGCAGGCTGGACTCAGTCCTGGGAATTCCTGAGCAGGGGTTCCACCATAGGTTAGGTGGGGAGGAATTGGTACTTAACACTTGCAAGCTTCTCATAGTTGCATATTATCATGGCTTTTCTATATCTGTTTTCAGTTTATAGTTATTTACGTTACCTATTACAGTTGTGTCTTTATTATGACTTTGGTTCTTCTCAGTGAGAAGTTGTCTCCTCTTTGAATGTTTTACAAAAATTTATTTATTTATTTAGAAAGTCACAGTTAGAGAGAGAGGGAGAGACAAACAGAAAGAGATATCTTCCATCCTCTGGTTCACTCCCTGGATGGCTACAACAGCGAGCACTGGGCCAGGCTGAAGCCAGGAGCCAGGAGCTTCATCTGGGTTTCCCACAAGGGTGACAGGGGCCCAAACACTTAGGGCATCTTCCATTGCTTTTCCCAAGCGATTAGCAGGAAGTTGAATCTGAAGCGCAGCATTGGTGACACAAACTGGCACCCATATGAGATGCCAGCGGTACAGGAGGTGGCTTTACCTGCGATGCCACAATGCTGGTCCCTCCTCTTTGAATTTTGAGTTAAAAAGAACTTTTTAATTATTGCTAAAGACATGTGCCTGAATGTTGCAGTTGATTTCTCAACAATGTTGCAGTGGATTCCTTTCTGAGAGGAGGAGCATGGTGGGGGCAAGAGGCGCCGAGTCACCATACAGACCCCGGGAGTTGGGTGAAAGCGGGCTTGAGGCAAGCAGCCCCCAGACTTGTTTATTTCAGTTAATACAACAGCTTATACAGTCAAGACCAGCCAATTCAGTCAACGGGTGGTCTATGCCACAACCAATCACAGCCTGTTGCCAGGCAGGCTCTGTTGCCAGGTGGGTTTCAAAGCCATTCCTGAGTAACTGATGCTCGCTTGCCAGTGGCCATCTTGGCATGGCCTTCTCATCCCCCCACACCTGAACATTTGTAGTTACTTTCCTGGTATCTGGTTGGAAAAGACGAGGTAAGTTGTACCGCTAGAGCATGAGACCTAACCATCTAATTCTGTCATCATGAAAACTCATCATTGAGCAAAAAGGAAGCACAGCTTGCCACATGCAACAATTCAAAGACCTCAAAGTGATTGTATATGCAGTGAGAACAGTTAGAGAGTGACTCTTTAACCTCTGTGGGTACATGGTATTAAATCCATGCTGCCCAGTAGCTTGCTTCTTGCACTATTATTCTAAAATGCATAATCTCTAGTATGGCACTAGGAATCTTAGACAATTATTTTGTTTCAGTAGAGAATGGGCAATTTTGTTTATATTTTGTGTAATAAATTTACTTATTTAAGGAAATGTTTATTTTTATTTTATTTGAAAGGCAAAGAAACAGAAAAAGAGGAAGACATTTTTCATCTGCTGGTTTACCCCCAAATGCCTACAACAGCCAGGACTGAGTCAAGCCAAATTCAGGAGCCGGAAACTCCATTCAGGTCCCTCACGTGGGTGCAGGGCCCAAGTACTTGGGACATCATCTGCTGCTTTCCCAGGCTCACCTGCAGGAAGCTGGATTGGAAGTGGAGTAGTTAGGAATTAAACAGGCACTCTGATATACTCTGCAGTGACTTTAACCACTGTACCAAATGCCTGCCCCATTTTTATTGGTTCTATTTAGAAAAGTGACTGTAATTGCCTCCAAATAAACTATAAATGTTAAAACAAATGAGTGATATTCTACATGATGCTATATTTCCCTGTGATGTCCAACAGAGTACTGAAGAGTTTGCTGTATAATTGTTTCTCCCTATCTCTTAGGGATCATATGCTGGTAAGTCAATGCCTCAAACTGGCTCTTGAGTTTTTTAAGAAGAAAATACTCTGCAAATTCAATAGTATTTCTCTGATTCTACAAAGTCATGGATGGGCTTCACAGTGATTCCACATACCAGTCTCTCTTTTTACCTCTTCGAATGTTTTCCATATTCTCTTAGGTACCCAGCTTACTGCCACATAAAAATTTTGCTTAATGCTAATAAAATTGAAAGAGATTTTGTCCTAATAATTGCTACCACACTATTAAATGTAATGAAGTGAGTACAATTATAGAAATAGGTCCCAGAATTTAGCCTTGGTGCACCTTGAGCAACACATGGACATCTGAAATTGTGTGTTTCAACAGGAGACACCTGGGGGAAGAGTTATCAAAGCAGAAATACCGCAGCCCAGAGGAGTTGCATGAGAAATGTTTAAATACAGCCAACCAGGCTTCCTCTAGGTACAGTTTAACAACATTCTGAGAGACCACTCCAGGGAGGCGGCAGCTTGGACCAGCCGGTGTTAACAATGATGACGAGAAGGTTAGTTGTACACACAGGCTGCCTTGGCTTCTACAGACCTATTCTCTTAAGGTGCACACTGCTATGATGTTCTCCCCACCCCCATTTCTACACTGTTCCAGTTGAACACTACAAATGGACTTCAATGAGATGGCAATGCTTATAAGAGAAAACAGTGTTTCCAGGACTGGCCCTGCAACCAAGCTGTCCCAGCCCAAAGTCTTTCTTCCTTTGTGGAGTGAAGAGAAATGTCCCTGCTAAGCACCTGCTTAAAACTGTATTTGGTAGCAATATCCTTCACCTGTTTGGGATTTGGCTATCTCTTATTGGGGAAAGAAACCATATACTGGAATCAGCATTCCTTGTAGCCTTGGCAGAAATGCAAATTATTATGTTTTGCTTTGTTTACTTGGTCCTTTAATGAAGCTTGGCCTGAAGGCTTTGAGACCGTCCATGCACACTTTGGTTTGCTCCAGGCGCCCCACTTCCTGTTGTGTGACATCCAGCCAGCCTCACTCCTGCACATTTATATGACCCACCTGCTTCCCAGGCATCTGGCTTCTGGACTAGGAGCAGAGGTACACCTTACAGGCTCTCAGTAGTTACTGAACGCCGCTGCTTTTTTCTTTCTGATTAACTCACCAGTGGGGACTTAACTGCTGTGCACCTGCTGTGAGTGTGGTGACGAGAAACGTGGGTTCACAGGATGACTGGGGTCCAGTCACTGTCCTCGGGGAGCTTGTGCTCTTTCCATGCCCTGGAAAGACAGTGGTCTCTTCTGAAGCCTAGACCACATTCCCGGCAAACTTTTCCTCAATCCTTAGGCAGAAAGTGACTGGAATCCAGACTCTTCTCTCTCTTCGGAAGATAAGTGCTTTACACCATATACTACTTTGAGCACTGACGTTATTCTACAGGACAGCGAAAGCCTCAATATCCACATTTACAGTCCAGAAACACAAAGAGAGGGGAAGGAACCCAAATCCAGGAGGCAACTTAAAAAAAAAGAACACATGTACATCCACTCACCCTTAAAAGAGGGGAAAACCATTGAGGAAACTTTCATTTTTTTTTTTTTATTCTTGGATGTCTATTGAACAAAATCCCATGTGATATGTGTGTCTATGGAAACCTTCGTTATCTCAATGAGAGTGAGGTACTTAAGGCTGTTGTTGCTATGGAACAAGCAGTCTTTGCTTTTTATTCTATTGCACAATATCTAATTATAGAGATCCTGATAAAATTATGCATTCCTAAGCACAAATTAAGGCCATTCTACAGGAGCCTTTATGTACATACTTTGTCAAATTTCATTTAAAAAAAAATCAGGGGTGACTTTGCAGAGTCTTAGGAGTAAGTACTGCCTCCTCTAACCAATCTCAGCCCTTTGTAAGATGGAATTCTTGGGACTCTCTAGTTGGAACCGGAGCAGAGTCGTGGGTGGAAGATGGAGATGGCTTCGCTAATTCTCCCACAAAAGCCTGAATGGAAACTGGAAAGCCTGCTCTCCTATTGGATTGTTACACAATGCACATATTTAAAAATCTGCTTCTTTGTTTCCTTGTAAAACACAATAATCTACTTAATAGCAAGGAAGGCTGAGGTGCTCTTTTGAAAAGATAATATGTTACATAACACAGTTGACATCTCTCACCACTCTCTCCACTTCCAGGTAACTACTAATCTGCAGTTGGGAGGCAGGCATCTGTCCCTGTTTTTATACTTTTAATATATACTTAGATATCTATAATTATGCTTCATACTCTATATGTAGCATTTTAAAAATCAGCCTTTGACTCAATGTAATAGCTCAAGGTGCATATGTGTGTAGGTGTAGGGATGACTTATTGATTTTAACTGCTGTGTAATACTCTACTGTGTTGACACTCTCCTGTCAATGAACATTTATGCTGTGTCTACATTTCTGCTATTCCAATGTTGCAATGAACAGTGTTCGTAGACAGCCTCTTGTCTCAAGGTTTTCAAACTGCAGTACAGCTACGTTTAAGATAATTGATTTCTAGATCTCTAACATTCATGCTTGCAAAAAACAATATGCTGAGGTCATACCTGTGATCCAGGCACCAGGCAGTTCTTCACCCTTCTCTTTCTTCAGCTGCCTTTCCCACTTTACTAAGTTACACTGCTTAGACCTATAGAAACCTCCACAGTCCAAAAAAAAAAAAAAAAAAAAAAAGACAATATGAACTCTTGCTAGGAGTAGCTACATCTTTAATCAGGACCACAAATCCAGCCTAGAGCTTTGAGTTTACCCCTGGCCTACATACAAATCCAGCCTAGAGCTTTGAGTTTACCCCTGGCCTACATACATATACAGCTGACAAAAGTGAACCACAGTATTCAGCCTGTGTTGGGATGGCCTGAATCAGATATACAGATGGTGCCCAATATATGATGGCTCAGCTTAATGATTTTTCACCTTTATGATGGTACCAAACTAATTTTTTTTGACAGGCAGAGTGGACAGTGAGAGAGACAGAGAGAGAGAGAAAGGTCTTCCTTTTGCCATTGGTTCACCCTCCGCGCTGATCCGATGGCAGGAGCCAGGTACTTCTGGTCTCCCATGGGGTGCAGGGCCCAAGCACCTGGGCCATCCTCCACTGCACTCCCTGGCCACAGCAGAGAGCTGGCCTGGAAGAGGGGCAACCGGGACAGAATCCGGCACCCCGACCGGGACTAGAACCTAGTGTGCCGGCGCCACAAGGCGGAGGATTAGCCTAGTGAGCCGCGGCGCCGGCTGGTACCAAAGTAATTTGCACTCAATAGAAACTGTACTTTAAATTTTGAGTTTAGGTCTTTTCTTGGACTAGTGATATGTGGTGCAACCTTCTTTCATGATGCAGGGAGCTCAGTTAGTCATGTGATCACAGATAATCAACTGAGACTTCACAGTGAGCTGTGCATAGCAAAGCTATGGTGTTCAGCAGGTTGGGTGTATTTAGGGTATTTTGATTAAGGATATTTCCAATGTACGATGGGCTTACTGTGGGACAACTGCATCATGAGTAGAGGAGCATCTCTATTGTAAAGTGGGGTGGAACAAGTTTTTTGTTTTTAAGATTTATTTATTTGAATGGCAGAGCCACAGAAAGAAGGACACACACACACACAGAAAGAAGGAGAGAGAGAGAGAGAGAGAGAGAGAGAGAGAGGTCATCCATCCACTGGTTCAATTCCCCAATGGCCACAATGGCCAGAGTTGGGCTAGGTCAAAGCCAGGAGCCTGGGGCTTCTTCTGGGTCCTCCCACTTTGGGGGACAAGGGCCCAAGCACTTGGGCCATCTTCTACTGCTCTCCCAGGTACATTAGCAGGAAGCTGGATTGGAAGTGGAGCAGCTGGGACTTGAAACAGCGCCCATAGGGGATGCCAGCGCTGCAGGAGGTGGCTTTACTCACCATACCATGGCACTGACCCCAGGTGGTGCAGTTTTGACAGTCTTTGTCTGTGACTTCACCTTTTCCATCCTCTAACTGATTTCCAAAGAATGCATTTTTTCCTGAGAGAATCTTGTAAGGACAAAACAAAGACAGCATCAGTGAGAAGTACTGATGGCAGCAGCATCTTATGTCATCCATGCAGAGATCTTGTGAGCAGATTGAAGCCCATGCGTGACACATCTACCTGGAGCTTCCTTACCACCTTCTTACCCACCCTGGCCTTAGAACAGCAGTGGCGCTGTTGTCAGAGGCACACGTCCTAACACATTTATTCAAGTTGAAAAACCGAGGTCAGATTTGTTCTGTCAGAATGCAAGTCTACTCTGGTTGCTGATTTTACTAATTGGGTCATAAGGTGGGATTTTTCCACAATTTTGAATGAATTAGACCTATAATTCCAGAGGCCAGCATTGTGGCAATGGGTTAAGCTCTGGCCACTGTAGCCATTCGGGGACTAAACCAATGGATGGACGCTCTCTCCTTCTCTCCCCCGCCACCTGTCAAATAAATAAATATATTCTAAAAAAACAAACAAATAACAACAACAACAAAAAACCCTGTAACTCCAAAGTTTTGATAAGAAGATATTGAAAGAATCCAAGATAAAGGTGTTTCAATAAAAGCATATTCTATTGGCAAAGATGCATTTATGCAAACAATAGTTTGATTTTCCCCCAATCCTTTCTAAATGTATTTAGATAAACAAGTGCCTCAAAGAAAGGAGTAACAGGTGTCTTTGGTGTGTGGAATACGTGTACATGTGTATAGTCCTCCAGGGTACTTCTTGCTTTCAGAACAAGCAATAAAAGAACCTATTGGGCAATCTCCCCACATTTCTGCTGCGGATTCTAAGTCTGGGGAAAATTTCATTGGCTCAGGTAACATGATAACATGCATTACTGTAGATGAGTCACCAACTGTATGAATAAGATGGAGTTCATTTAAATGACTCTCTTATTGCTGTGTGCTGAGAATCCAAACACCTGGGCAAAAAGGGCATGGCCCCTCTGGCAGGGAGTCTTCTTCCCACAATTGTCAAGTGCAGCCCCAAGTGTGATCCCTGATGACTACACTGAGATGGTGTGTTTGGGCTGAACCGTGGGAAGAACCTGTCTGTTTGGGTGATGCACTGAGGTGACAGCAGCAATGGTGGGAGGGACGCCAGGGCAGGAATCTTAGTGCCAGTTCTACCACCACTAGCTGGGAGACCTTTGGCAGGTCACTTCCTCTCCCTGGGCCTCAGTTTTTCCCCTGCAATGAAATGAGGGATCTAAGTACACTTTCTCCTCTCCTCATACAGGCCCAGTCCAGGAGTTTCCTCCCAGGACCCTTGGTCTGGGCACTGATTTGGTACTATACCTTACGGCGGGCAGAGGTGGGGGGTCAGGAGAGTATGGCTACCACTCCTCGGGACTTTTCAGTAACTTCCTGGTGTGACTGTTAGGCAGAGATGGGTAACACACAGGGATCCTTGTTTCAGCCCCAAGGAAGCAGTGCTGTAACCTCAGCTACTTCTCAGCAACATGAGTCTGACAGAAGGAAAAACCCACATTTTCCTTATGCCTCTTGAGAGCTTCCTTTTACAACGCCCAGGCTTCCAAGCAGGGGTGAAGAAGAATCAAATATATATCAAGGCTTTCAGGGACCAATAAGTATTTTGCTTGCTTATCAATATCCTTATGCCTTATTCTAGCACTGAAAGAGGGAAGGGGTTACAGCCATGTAGAGAGACATTCCGAGAGCCTCTCAAGGACTCCTCCTGTATAGTGGCAGGATGAAGTCCTGAGGAGGGAGACAGGAACAAGGCTCAGACTTGTCTCCCTGTGGATGAATGTGCAGGCTCCCCGGTCAGGCTGCCTTGGTTGGAACCCTGTCGCTGTTACTTGTTGGCTGTGTGGCTGGACTGGGTAAGTGTTTGAGTCTCTCTGAGCCTGCATCTGTGACTCAGAATCGCCCCACAGGGTTCTCATGTGGATTAAATGAGATAACCAGATAACATGTGTAAACATGTTCAGCCCAGGGGCTGCAGCATGATAGTAGTATTAACATATTTCCTTCCTTCTATTTCAGGTGTAGGAAAAAGTGATTCCACTGACTTCTTTAGTAGGAAATCCTAGCAGACAAAAAGTCAAATTCATCATCATGATAGCAGTTAATGTTGAGTTTTCTTTCACCCTAGGAATGTTTTCCATTATAAATTGGGTAGCCATGTCAAATTTGCTCAGTTAATTTTGGCCTGAGAGGTGCTCTTAGGGCCCTCAACATTTGCCTGGAAGGTCAGGCTTATCAGTTCATGCTTGTTAGCGTGAAAAACTCCTTTCCTATCACTGCTTCTGCCACTTCCCTTATCCTGTCTTTCTTCTGGAACAAGTGGACTTGCAAGATACTTCACTCCCTGATTGGCAAGCACACTTGTTCTAGGAGAGAGAGTTCCGCCCATGTGTACAGCCATGGGCTGCAGACACCGGAAGGTTTATCTGACAGAAGGCTTTCTTCTGCAGGTGCCAGGGCATTGAAAGCAGGGCCCCTGCTGCTGTCCCTGATCTAATTAAGGGTGTCCGGCCATTTCCGAACCATGGCTTCAGTGACACCAGAATAAACACAAGAGCACTGCTCTGTATCTGTCAGACCATGGGGCACACTGAGACTTATTCCCTGTGGCTGAGGAGCAACATGACTTCCAGAACATGGATAGCGCAGAACAAAGGATTTTGTCTAGTACAGAGTTATCTGAAACTCTGCATGATAATCAAACTTATTTCAAAGAGAAGTTCAATTCCAGAACCTTGAAGATGGCTCAAGAGTGCCCAGGAGCTTAATGCACCTACTTCAAGATTTTGATGTCTATTTTGTATGTAGCAAATGTTGACCAAGGGCTATGTGCTCAGTGTTAACCGCCATGTGCTGAGGGAAGGGCTTTGAAAAGTGAGATGCAAATTAGCAACATCTACTAGACACTAACTTGGCCTCAAGGTCTGGGTTCAAATCCCAGTTGTGTCACCTGCCCTCAGAGTGATATTGGGCACATCTCCTATGAAGCGAATGCAGCTTCTCAGCTTCCTTATGGGCTTCAGGGTCAGGCCTTCACCTGGGGAGAACCAAAAGAGGCCCTAGCAGTATGCTCATGTGGTCAAATATCTTTATAAAACAGGTTCAAGTAAGGTACAGTAACTGCAACCTGTGGTTAGAACGACTGTCTTTCCCTCCTCTGATTGCCCTTTGTAGCATGGAGGTAGCTGTGGGCATATTTATGATCCACCTAAGGGGAAGTTGAATTAAGGATGATTTGATTTTTATGCAGTTAGATACCTTCATATGTTCTAGCCACTTCCACATTTGGTTAGGTTACTGCTGGTGAACATGGGTTGGAAATGGCCAACTCCTCTTGTGCTAGGACATGAAAGTGTGGGGCCAGAGATCCTATTGTGAAGTGGGCACGGTTAGAGCACCTGGCGCTGCAGGTACGTGAACTTCAGGGAAAAGGATGGATGGAGCCATAAATGAGTCTCTGGAAGAAACTCCAAATCCTAGAGTTTGCAAACGGAGGAGGAGTGCGAGATACTTGCATTTGACAACAATCTGAAACCTTAGAGGATAGCTTGTCCCCCCTTGTACACAGTCAAATCACCCTGAGTCAACCACAGTCCAAAGAGTGAATGGAAAATCCCAGGAATAAACAATCTGTAAGTTTTAA